CTTGTCTAAGGCTTTGGCAGCTTCGCGAATTCCACGTGCTAGGCCATCGTGGATGAGGGCGGTCTTCAGCACCTCTTGTAAAGCAGTATTAACGTCCATTACACCTCCAGCAGCAATGCTGAAATGCAGCAAATCAAGTGAAAACCATCAGTAAATTCCCCACACAACACTTAAGACCCTGGACTCAATAATCATAGGAGACACATCAGGTGCCGTCCGTTAAGGCGCCGCGGCCTACCCTGACCCCGCACCGCCCGCTCACTGTCCACGCCCTCCCCGCACCAGACCCCCACCCTCGGCTCACCCTTCCTCGGCCATGGCGGTGGATTACGAGTGTAGCCGAATCTTGACTGCACTGTAATACAAAAACAAAGAGAAACCAGTTAGCTAAAATAGCTCAGCCAAAAACCAATCCCCGCCAAAAGCGACAAACGCACCACAACTACGACCCCAACCTCGTTCAACTCACCGCGACCTTCCGCCTCCGCACCACTCGGCGGCGGCAGGGAAAGAGGTCGTACGCGTCCGCATGACGGTATTTAAGGGCTTCCCAGGACCCCTGTGCGCATGTGCACTCCTTTTCATGAAAGAGGTGGCTCTGGTGGTGCCGGGCCTCAAGAATTTCTGTTTCCGGATAGAGGCGGTTCTGAGACAAGAGTATTCCTAGTCTTCTGACTCTGCACTGCTGGTTATTGACACGCGCAACAGGCACCAACGCGGGCAGCCTCACACCACCCTTCCCCGCCGGAGGCGTGGTCTACGGAGGCCCAGAAAGCTCGTTCTACGGAGCGCGAGAGGGGCCAAGCGCGTCTGCGCTGTCTCGTTAGGTCTCTGGCCCTTCATTTCCTCGCTAAGTCAGTTTTAACTTTTGTCACACTACCTTGTAATTTTTTGTCGACCTCCCTAATTGGGCCTTCCTGCATGGCACGCTCTCCTTTCGCTTCTAAGTCTCTGTAAATGTCTGCGAATGTGTCGTTTTGTGGGTGATCCACATTTGTTGTGAAACGAAAGCCAGCACGTTTTCAATACTAAGCACGTGGTAAATTCCACTTTACCGGTGATGTGTTAGTAGAGTGGAACCTTAGGTGGTTCGTTACGGTTTCTAAACGTAGTTGGTTCTAAATGAAATTTTTTCTTTCTTTTTTTTTAACGCTAGATTGTCCCCTAAATTCGTAATCCCGTGCAAATCGGGATTCAATAGGTGCATTAAAAACGCCTACAATGTGCCAGACACAGGAACTGGGTCCGGAATAACAGTGATGAGAACGTGGTCTTTGAGAAATCCGGAATTAATTTTGCCATGCAGGACTGGCGGAGTTAGACGTGGAATCTGAGGACCCTAGAACTCTTACTACCAGAAGCAGCCTTTTGAATTTTGCATTTATTGGCCATTCTCCTACGCCCATTTCAAAACGCAAATATATGAAATACGGCCGCGTATTCTCAGCACAGTCTCTCTTTTTTTTTTTTTTTAACTTCCTCTCCTGACAAGTCTCCAAGCCAGTCAGCAATTAGGCTTTTGATAAGTGCCGGTACCGTGGATAAAGTGAGACGAGTGCTGTGAGAAAACAGAAATGAGTAACATGAGTGCGGGGCAGAACTAACCAGAACAACAGAGACATACTGGAATTTTAGTAAATTTATATAGTTCATTTTTACCTTTTTGAATGCTTACAGATTTTCGTTTTTAAAGTGTTGAGCTGTTTCTATTCGTAATTCATCCTAAAAGGCTGCTCACTTATTTGTTGATTTAATTACCTATTGAACATTTGCTTAAAAAAAAAAACTACGGAGTTTATAAGAATGAGATTTATTTCTGCCGCTCTCACAGATTGTAGTAGGATTAAGATTCGAACCAAAGATTAGAATACCTAAACGCCACAGGGAAGGTACAAAGTGGCATGGGGGTTTGAGAGTGGGGATGATGTGGAAAGATAAAGGTGAATTTGAGTCTGTGGCAACATTTGAAATGGGAAAACAACAACAAATGAAAGGGTTCCAAAGAGGGAGCATGAGAGAAAAGGAGAGGGTATTCTAAGAGAAGGAGAGAGTGAGGCAAAGGCACAGATGCCTCCTTTGCTTTTTTGGAAGTTATCACACCACCCTTGTATTTTCAAAAGAGAATGTGGTAGTTTCAGCAATTTCTAATTATCTAAAGTTAATAAAATTTAATGTGCTAAGCATTAGATTTCATATCCGATTTCTCCGTGCCTTCCCAAAACAAATCTTAGAGAGAAGGCAGAGAATTTGGTAAAAACTCAAGAAACATAAAAGGGGATAATAATTTGCAAACAATGTATTTATACAGAGAGAAAACAATTAAGTACCTTTTCGCTTGGTTGTTCATTTCTGTCTTCTAGCAGCTGGTAGTCTTATGTAGATTCAACTATCATGGGCCTATGCCTTAATATTTCACCTTATGAATACCTTTTCTATCAGTTGTAACCCTCTTTCCTTAGAACCAGACCAATTTTTTTTTTTTTTGAAGTTCTAGTATATAGCTGTTTTTAATCCTAGGAATGAACTTAAAGGACACAGTGGTGATTCAAGGATTCTTTAAATTTTCTTAGTTCACTTGCTTAAGGTTACCTCCTCTCAATTTTAGATATTGCCAAAGGTGGAAGACAATACTACAGAGACTAAAGGCCAGAGTCACTCTTATACCAGCAGATTATAATACTTATAAAAAGTACACAAATGAGCATCTGAAATACCCATGAAAGGTAAATTCTAAAGTTTGTTTTAGGAACAAAAAATAATAGTAAGTGATTTTGCTTAGCACTTTCTATGTGTCAACTAATGTGCTAAATTATTATGTTTTCTCCCTTGATTGTCCTTGAGACCCTACATGGTAGTGGTGGTATTAGCCTCCTTTAACAAAGGAAGGAAATAAGCTTAGAGAGTTGCTCAAGCTCACACAGCTAGTAAATGCAGACACTGGTATTTGAGCCCAATGGACTTCAAAAGCTCATGCTTCCAACCCCTCATCCATTTGAATGATTGCCCAAATGTGGATGATCACAGAATTCAATAACTCTTCACATCTGAAGTTGGGAACAATGCAACTGGTTCTACTTCATTGTGCTAAAAAGCTGGATAGATGGAGAAAGGGAATATTGCAGTGTTGGGCAGAAAAAGAGAACAGTAGAAATTTGCATTCCTGATCTTAGTAGATATTTTATTAGTTTGCTACAGTTGCCACAACAAAGTATCAAAACCTGGGTGACTTAAACAATAGAAAGTTATTATCTCACAGTTCTGAAGGCCAGTAGTCTGAAATCATGGTGTCTGCATGGTTGGTTCCTTCTAAGGCTGTGAGGGGGAATCTGCTCATTCCTGACTCCTAAATTCTGGAGGTTTGCCAGAAATCTTGGTGTTCCTTGGCTGTGGCAGCATAATTCCATCTTCACATGATATTCTCCCTGTCTTTGTCCAATTTTTTTAATAGGGATACTAGTTATCTTTTTTTTAAAGATTTTATTTATTAATTTATTTGAGAGAGAGAGAGAGCGAGTGAGAGAGAGCACAATGGGGGAGGGGGGGCAGAGGAAGAGGGAGAAGCAGACTGCTGGCTGAACAGGGAGGCCGCTGAGGGAATCTGAGATCATGACCAGAGCAGAAGGCAGATGCTTAACCAACTGAGCACCCCAGGTGCCCCAAGGATACTAGTTACCTTGTATTAAGGGCCCACCCTACTCTGTTATGACCTCATCTTAACTAATTATGTTTAAAACAATCCTCCAAATAGGGTCTTGATATCTGGTGTTGGGGGTTAGGACTTGAACACATGTATTTCAGGGAAACACAATTCAGCCTATAACAGATGTTAGAAGAAGAGATATAGGACAGATTAAGTGATAGAAAAGATCTTTGAGTTAAACTACCGCAAACTAACTTGGAAGATCAGAGCTGGGAAGAGAAGCTGGGTCAGGGCCCATTAAAGATTTTATATCTTGGAGTGATGGGGACCAGCTGAGCTGAGTTCAAATTTCAGCTCACTCTGTGGCCTTGGGCAAATTACTTTTCTGAGCCAGCAAAATCCTGGTAATACTATAAAATTTTGTGAAGATTAAATGGGATGGTTGTTTAAAGTGTTTACCACTGTGCCTGTGGATGTAGTTATTTATCTTATAGAGAACTTCATATAAAAATATATGGAGGGGCGCCTGGGTGGCTCAGTCATTAAGCATCTGCCTCCAGCTCAGGTCATGATCCCAGGGTCCCCCTTGTTGGGCTCCTTGCTCAGTGGGGAGGCTGTTTTTCCCTCTCTCTCTGCCGCACCCCCTGCTTGTGCTCTCTCTCTCTCTGTCAAATAAATAAATAAAATCTTTAAAAAAAAGAAAGAAAATATATGGAAAGGTTCTTAAGTATTACTTTTTCTTGCCCTAAACCACCCAGCACCTGGTACAGTGACTTGCATATTGGAATAACCAAACTAATGTGTACTGAGTGAACACATCAAATTAAATAAGTTTAAAGAAGCAATTGGGTAGATGGCATACCTAAAAGAAAGCCATGTTGAAAACTATAGATAACTACAGAACTAGAGCGAGATAAATTAACATCTCTTGTGAATTAGTGGGAGGTTTTGGGCATCCCAGAAAACCACATTTAATTTGAAAACTTTTTAAATGTCCCTACTTTGGGGGATAGAAAATAAACCCAATGGGTGGAAATGGGAGCTAAGAAATAGGAGAAAACTCAGGAAATATTATCCTGCTGCAGCTCAGGATCATATAGGCCTAGTCTTGGCTTAGGTAGCATGTGGTTTTAAACATACTACAGAAAATTAGTTGTAGCTGAAGAGAGGTTTAGGCCAAAGAAGATAGAATCCTATTATATCAAGGGAAGAATCAAAGGAGAAAGAAAAGTTGGTAAGAGGGAAGAGAATGAAAAAGAAAATAAGAAACGAGATGAATAAGAATGGAATAAATTAATAAAGACACCTGGTCATAGCTTGTAAAGTTAATATCTAAGGCCTGCAACTGGAAAACCTAGTTTATTAGAGGGGAAATGGTTATAGGAGAGAATGGGGCTAGATGATTAAAAAGCTGAGTATGAAGCCTATGTTAACAGCTTACATATTTTGCAGGTTTGTGTGATTCTCATCTAACTTTTCGTAAGTCTTTTTTTTATAAAGATTTTATTTATTTGTTTGACAGAGAGAGAGAGAGTGAGAGAGAGAGCACAAGCAAGGCAGAAGGCAGAGGGAGAAGCAGGCTCCCTGCTGAGCAAGGAGCCAGACACAGGGCTCAATCCCAGGACCCTGAGATCATGACCTGAGCCGAAAGTAGCCGCTTAACTGACTGAGCCACCCAGGTGCCCCAAACTTTTCATAGGTCTTACTAAGAATGTTTGCTCTGTCCTTGTTGTTATTGCTACCAGATGCTCCCCAGAGCTCTTTGGGTGCTGTTGCTTCTTGCTACAGCGCAGATTCAGAATTAGTGGGAACTGAACATACTGAGGAAGATAATTAGAGATAACGCTTAAGATATGTGAATAAACTAATTATAAACCAGCAACACGGGTAATTTAAAATGAAAAAGAGTAGTAGCCAATAGAGCAAACCC